TGTCTATTTACTCTGTTGATCATTCCTTTTTGCTGTGCAGAAGCTCTTTAGTTTAATTAGATCCCACTTGTCAATTTTGGTTTTTACTGCATTTGCTTCTTTTTTTTTTTTTTGAGTCTGGGTCTCTCTCTGTTGCCCAGGCTGTTGTGCAGTGGCACAATCATGGTTCACCACTGCCTGGAACTCGTGGGCTCAGGCAATCCTTCTGCCTTAGCCTCCCAAGTAGCCAGGACTATAGGTGTTACCCAGCTAATTTATTTATTTATTTATTTTTGGAAGAGACAAAGTCTTGCTATGTTTCCCAGGCTGATCTCAAAACTCCTGGGCTCAAGTAATCCTCCCACCTTGACCTCCCAAAGTGTTGGGATAACAGACATGCACCACCATGCCCAGCTTGCGTTTACTTTTGAGGACTTGGTCATATATTTGTTGCCTCGGCCGATGTCCAGAAAGAGTGTTTGGGTTTTTGTTTTTGTTTTTTAAACTGTAGAGATGAGGTCTCACCAAGTTGCCCAGGCTGGTCTTGAACACCTGGGCTCAGCCAGTCCTCTCGCCTCTGCCTCCCAAAGTGTTAGGATTTCAGGCATGAGGCACGGCACCCAGGCAGCAAGAGTGTTTCCTATGATTTCTTCTAGGATTTTTATAGTTTGAGGTCTTATATGTAAGACTTTAATCCATCTTGAGTTCATGTTTGTACATGGAGAGAAGGGATTTGGTTTCCTTCTTCTGCGTATAGTTAGCCAGTTTTCCTAGCACCATTTATTGAATAGGGTGTTCTTTCTCCAATACTGATTTTTTTTTTTTGGCTTTGCCAAAGATCAGTTGGCTGTAGGTCAGCAGCTGTATTTCTGAAATTTGTATTCTGTTCCATTGGTCTATGTGCCTATTTTGTTTTTAACATGCTGTTTTGGTTACTGTGAACTTGTAGTAAAGTTTGAAGTCTGGTAATATGGCTCCAGCTTTGTTCTTTTTGCTCAGGCATGATTTGGGTATTTAGGCTCTTTTTTCTTCCTTATGAATTTGAGTCCTATTTTTTCTAGATCTGTGAAAAATGACGCAGGTCATTCAAGAGGGATTGTGTTGACTCTGTAGCCAACTTGCTTTGGGCAGTATGGTCCTCTTAATGATGGTGATTCCTCCAGTCCATGAGCATGGAATGTTTTCCACTGGCTCATGTTGGTCTTCTGTTTCTTCCAGCTGTGGCTAGTGGTACTTGCTGTAGAGAGCTGCACCTCCTTTGTAAGATGCATTCCCAGGTATTTTTTTTTTTCTCTGTGCTTCCTCTTGACAGTCGAAGAAACAGCAATAAAAAACACAGAGGGAACCTTCATGAAGGTGCTGCAAGCCCGGAAGAAGCACACCAGCACTGAGCTCATTATTGAGCCAGAGACACCCTCAGACAAGAGGGTTGTCAAACAGACAGACATCTTCAGTGAGCAACTGGACTTCAGTGATGAAAGCAATGTCATCAGTGCGCTCAATTATGTCTGGCCCTATTTCTCACTGGGTAACCTAGAGGATATGGAATCAACATTGTCACCATTCACAGAACTGCTTTTTTCAAAACTTTTTAATAAAGCAAAGCCCCCATCTTTTTGGAGAAACAATACATCCAACAATCCTTACAGAAATAGATTGAGGAGGTATTATATCCTTAAAAATTGGTTAGGTTCACTAATTAAAAAAAAAATGGAGGCAGTCAAAAGGAAAATAGGAGCTGGTATGCTGATGCAGCCTGGCCCCTTAGGATATCAAAGTTTTAAACACCAAAACTCTGCAGACCACCTGAAAACTGCCCAGCCACAGGGAACCAGGCTGTTGAAGACTCAGGGTCTTAGGAAAAGGCTGCGGACCGTGGGCGTAATCATCAAGGGGCCCAAGGGCATTAAGAAAAGGCATCTCAAGAAAACCCTTAAAGATCATCTCATCAGAAGGCAACAAAGCACCCAGCCATTGGTGGAGGATGCTGCCATGGAAAGGAAGCATGGGAGGCCAGCCCCAAGGGAGCCAGAATGGTCTCTCAGGGCGCAGAGGCCCCAGATGCTGGTGGGCAGCCCCTCCCACACCAAACCCTCATCCACACAGGTGGATTGGCTTTCTTCCTTAGGAAAGCAGATGGATGTTCCCTCAGCTGCCTCTGCAAAAGCCCTGTCTGGGGACCAAAGGGAGTCCAAAGACCTGAAGCACACCCTCTTCATTTTGGAACAGGCAGCAGCAAAATCTCGAATCATGCAGGATCCACTTGATCCACTTGTAGGTAAAACTCACTTCGAGGTGGTCCACAGAGCACCCAAGGCCAAGGTGAGTTGGAAGTTCGGGAAGGAAGGCTCATCTGGTCAACTGATGGTTGCCAAGA